TTTTTAGTAATCTATTGATCAGATTTAAATTTAATAACGAACGAAATATTATAAATGTAAATTGTTCAAGAATTTAAATTTCTTAGTGTGTCGTTTTCAAAAATATACTCAGGATTTTTTTCTTGTAGGTACGAGACAAATGTCAACAATTTACTTTATTCACGCAGTTGCGTCGTAAACCGATGACAGTGCGACTCGTTACGTACACAATACAGTAGTCAAATTAACTTTTTATAAAACGACCATTGTAACCTAACCGTTTTATTTATTTATAAAAATGCGGCAACATTTATACCGTACAAATCAAAGAAAAAAATTCTTTGTACTTTTTTACACCTCTAGGTACTTACTTATTTTGTAAATTATATAACACTGCTGTGGATGTTTATCAACAGCAAATAAAGACGATTTTTTTCACAATTCAATGACGTGTTAAAAGTTAATTTGAAAATTTAATATTAATTACTGTTATTGCTTGTTTCATACTCATTCCGTACCTGTTAATCAATTATCCTTCAACAAATTTAAAAATACCACATCTTTGTTTTTAAAAATCCGTCTTATCTACGGTAAAATGTTTCCTTTTAAAATTTGACATCACTTAATAAATTAACAATTTTATTCCAGTTCGTGAAATTTAAACATAATAATTTATGGAAGTGAAGTTAGGATTTGAATAAATTATCATCTTATACATAATATATATTATGTGAGTGTATAAATATTGTATTGGTTGGTATTAACATTTATTCGAAGTTAATAACCAACAAAAATATTATCGTCTCACATATACTGCAATATTTCATCACCTGTACAAAGTAAAGCGTGTAATCAAATAGATCACCTTTAAAATACAATTTAGAACTTTTATAGTATAGTTTAATTTAATTTTAATTCAATAATTCTGTGCAAATGACAGTATATAGGAACTTGCATAGGTTACACACACCATATTGAATATTAATTTATACGTGGAATAATTTTTTAGTTTTTATATTTGTTAGTACTTATTAAGTAGACATCGAATATATTTTAATTTATATTGGAAAAGTATGAAATATTTATATTGTATGATTCTGAATAATATTAACTGCAATTTAATTTAATTGTAAATTATAATGAAATGTTTAATTGTACACGTTTATTTGGTGCTTATAAATATAAAACATCGTTGGTGTAGTTATGCAAACAAAAGTTACGACGGACACAATTGAAATATCGTAAGATATTTACTATAATATACTAATTTTTGTATAGGAACCTAAATTATTTTTTTAAATAATTCATGCACCTATTTCATCATGGTATTTTCAAAGATATTTTCGTAAATTGTATACCAAAAAATTATTAGATAACATATATATTTATGCGTTTTCACTAGCTATTAGTCTTGACTATGACGTGTTTATCATCGTTTTGTGTATGTGTGTAAGATCCATATCTTTTTTTAAATTGTATTTTTATATTTAAATCATTAAAAAAATGTCAACTCTTGCGAGAACCTATATTATGAAATTGGACAACAAAAACAATAAGGAGCACACGACATTTATTTCGATTACACGTTTAAAATATGAATATCTACAATAAAATCTACCTAACACCATATATATACTTACAGGTATAACACTAGAATGACGATAATCTTCTCTCGTATTCAATGCTATCAAAATGTCGAACAACAATAGTATATTATTACCTTCAACGTTCGCGGGCTACGATACCCTCGCACTTTTCCGCGCCAACTGTCGCTGCACAGCGACCGTCAAGAACGTCGAGACGTCGTCGGATCTGTGCTCCGATTACTTCCGATGTACAATAAAACGATATTGCAACGGTCTCGTTGTATCCGGACGCAAAATTACTAATACGATTTAGACAATATTTTTAAAAATATACAAATATCGTCGGACCGCCAAGAATCGCGGTCGGCGTGCAATAATATGTGGTCGGCGCGACTTGCGAGAGTATAATCTCTTCCGACCTGAGAGCGCGGCGTGCTTCTCTAACATCCGACCCGGTGGTGCGTCATGGCGCTACTGCCGCGGACGAGCACGCGTCTTCCCTTCGTAGTGACACCGCGCACGTTGGGACGTCGTTTCGCCGTACAATAATATGATAGAGCCTATCGTTGAACGAGTATTTTTCGTACGATTTCCGACACATATCGCACCTATTACGGGTACTTAATGATTAATTAAAATAATACCATAAAATGATAGAAAAATAATATAATATAGGCATCAATAATATTCAAGCCTGGGCGAGTTAATAAAAATTATCAACTGATTCAAGTTAAGTTGATGGGAAACGTTTTAAAAAGTGTTAAGTTAATAGTTATTCTGATTTTTTTTTAAACTCAGTTAAGTTCAAAGTTATATGAAAACCTATAATTAACTTATTTACTTAAGTTGAATTATTTTTTTTTTTAATATACAAAAAGCCAGTTATATGTTTTAAAACAAGTAACAAGGTAATGTTTATGCAATAAATATAATCAATAATATTTTATTATATTTATCATTTAATTATTTATAAATGAACGAAATTGGATTTGATTAAAAGTAACTCGTTGTTTATTAAGTTTATATCAATAAAAATCAGTTAAGTCATTGAAAGTGAAATTTTAAAAAGTTAAAATTAACTTAACTTAAACTTTTTAACTCGTTTATGCCCAGATATGGCATCATAATGTATTATTATTGATGATTAATTATTATTATTTACATCGATGCAACTGTCGTTGTCTCTGAATTATATTAATTGTTGAACAGTGTTTCTTGTCCGTTCGTGTTGACACAACATTATTTTTATTAAATTCAAAAAATTCAAAATTTGTTAGGCATAATACATGCACTTGTAATATTTATATTATATTATCTGGGCCTTGTATAAATATTCTCATTAATTCGCATCGGAGTATAGAATATGATAATACTGTGAAGGAACTTACCCGAATACATATTATCACAGTGCGCGTCACTAACTCGTCTCAACGTTTACCGGTCTGAATGAGATGTCTCCAAAAACAATCTTATCAAACCACAAATGAAAGGATTTATTTATTAAATATTTAAATCATTCCTTGCGATGAAAGTGATCAGCTTATTATTATTTATTTATAACATAATATTCTAAGTGTTTTGGTCGTCTGGTCTTGGACGGTATTCATCTCAAACTCCAAAATAATGTATATCATTGATTTTCGGAAGTATAATAGGAAAAAATTACCCATACTACCTATATAATGTCGAGAATAGAACTATAAAAACAAAATACAAATAATAAAAATAAAAATACGAGTACATATGGAATAGTATGTATACTCTATATGCAATTATTATCAGTCTTATAATATTTAATCACACATCTTCATAAATATTTAATAATAATTGAATGAATATTGGCTGTATAGATAATTAACTAAAATAAAATTTAAATATATAAAATGTATAAAACAAGACCTATAATTATCATCGTATTGTTATGAAAGCAATAGAAATTAATTCAAATCTACCTGTTTTAATTTTCTATCGGTTTTGTTTCGATAAATAATATAACTAAAAAATAATGTAACAACATATTACTATGTAGGCATAAACTATTAGAGTATAATAACACAGAAAAATACTTGATTATATTTGTATAAAATTTGTGTCTAACATAGCAAACTTGAAATATAAAAAAAAATAAATACTAAAAATACGATTTCAGACTACTCTGCAAGATGGGGACGAGGTTTGTTAAACCACAATGTAACTAAAATTAGACTACAACATGAATTTCGTTTAGTTCACTATGTGTTGATAATCGTTATAATAATTTTAGAGCATATCGCCAATCAAATAATAATGGAATACAAAATATAAACTTTTCTTTAAATACATCTTACTATTCGATCTTCTATTAATCGTGTAATTTCTGATGGTTAATGGTCACGACGTCAACCGTTAGAGGACGCTAGCAATTTTGACAGGTAGTAAAGATTTTCATCAACTGCAGACCGTATTAATATTTAATATCATTATATCGTTCTATTTAAAAGTACGGGAGATTTTGAAAGTACAGTGCTTAATCTTCTCTTTTCTTTCTCATGGGTATAGGTATATTCTACACAAAATTGTTAACTATACAAACTATAATAATATAAGACTTAACTGTCGCCTGTCACTATAAAATAATAAACATAGGTACTTAAATATATTATGCCTGATTTTAGATACCCATTTCTAAATAAACTTATCAAAGTTATGAGTATATTTATGATAGAACTTAACCATTAAACGCCCTACGCTTAAATCCGTGATTAAAATTTTGATATTTTGCAATACAGCTTTTAAATACCACTATAAATATTAAAACAAATGTTAATTTCGGAAATTAAAATAATTACATTTTTATTGTTACCGAGCAGTGACGGGGCAAATTATCTGTGACAATTCAAACATTTAATAAATTATTATTTCATACAATTTTGAACACTTGTAACTACAAAAATTATATGCGAGTACAAATGCATAATAAATGATTTCCTTGTATTCAATAAAACAAAATAAAATATAAGTATAATAGATATTCCATAACTCTTGGATCAAATAAATAAATACATGGTGTATTCAATAGAGTATTTTATTAAAAAAAAAAAATAATAAATTAATAAAATCTAAATCAATACAACTATAAATAACATAAATAAATTATTAAAATATATAATGTATAAATATGTCTTAGTTTACTATGAGAAAATATTCCCTAAATAATACATTAATAAACACCTTATGCTTAGCACGATATTATGTAATCCTTTAGCGTTAAATCGTGAGTTAATCGTACTGTACAGAAGGTTAGGAGGATACACATATGATCGGTACAAATAATATTAAAATTAGTTTGTAGTTAAAATAAAATATTCAACATAACATAGGAGTTAAATTTTATAGTTTTATACCGTGGCGAATAAAAAACGTGTGTCTATCAATAACTGATGACACATGTACATACTGGTGGGTTATTTTTTTTAGTTATAAAAACCATATATCTGGTCACTGAATAGGGAAGAATATTTTTGAATCGAACTACCTACATCGAATAATAGTCCAATCTACTGTTAATACATAACTACGGTTCGTTACGATTGAAATAAGATATCAACGGGTGTTCCTTATATTGAATACTTCTAAGGTATAGGAAATTTATAGAAATGAAAAAATGGAAAGTATAGCAACATACAAAATAAAAAATAAAATAAATAATGATAAATCCCCTGTTGTTTGTTTTTCCTGAAATATAACAGTTGACAATTTACTGTTCATGATGATATCGATTTAGAAAATTACTGATCGCATCGGAACAAATTTATCGGCTAGTTAAGGTGGGAACAAAATACTTTTTTGCCGTTACAAACTACCTACACTTTTTTTGTTCATAATTTGTATTATATTTTTTTATAGAAATACCTATAACACATTATTTCTCAGAGGAACTAGTTTTCAATAACGGCGGACACTTAAACTATATTTCATTATTTTTGAGTTCACGCCGTCATGTTATTATTATCGTATCATGGACCGTGAGTCAGATATGATTGATAAACAGAGGTTGCCGAAAGATTAGGTCGGGTGCGCTTTTATCGTGCCCTCCGTTCGGAAGTGTTTCTATACGCGTTAAGCGCATCGATAAAACACGTAAAAAGTGGCCTTAGTCCTATCTTTCAGGGAACTCACTGGCAGTAGTATAAGAAGATGGAGTAAAGAAAGGGTTATTTTTAGACAACTACGACGATTCGGAATCACCGGACAGGTTTTGACCAAGCGCCGTCTCGATAACCACCTCCTTGGCTTCTTCCCCGTTACACCTGAAAATATTAAATACATATTTTAGTTATAATAATATATAAATACTATAACTATATAATAACTATTAGTTATAATTATATTATTAAAATGCCAATTTATATATTTGTCCGTTTAATAACAAGTATATAATAATGATTTTTAATGGATCGCATCTTATTTATTCATAAACGTATTTCACATGCATACAAAAAATATATATAACATTACAGTATTGTTCTAATTATTTGTGTGATTTTATTTTCTATGCACAAAAAAGTTCCATTTTCATTCCTCGACGATTCTATGTTTCGACGACTTCATTTTCAGCTGCTCTTTCCAATCCATGCCCCACTATAATTCGGGCATCCAAATCGTAGAATCGTTGATTTTCGTTTAGTAAACTAGTGTATCATATTATATCGTTAAAATTACTAGAAATAAGTATTGTGTGCCTATGAAAACAATTCGCAGGAAGTAATTTTTTTTCAAATATATTGTCTACGGTTAATTTATCAAAATTTAAAAGATGAAAAATGTTTTAAAAAACTCTCAAATAACTACAAAATATATTTATTTTACAATAAAATGAGTAATTCGAGATAATAATACTTGGAGTTCCTACAAAAATATTATAACAATATCTTAAGCCATGTTATTATTCTCTATTGTATTAAATGGACATACGTAAATAATACTTAGACAAAGGTTGGGTATGAAAAATTATTTTATATATTTATGTAAACCTAATATGCCACTCAGAACGGCTTTGTTGTATTAATAGACATTTTCAAACTTAATAAGACAAGAGATAACACATCCTCGAATCCCCCTATTCAGAGGATGAAAACTTAACTTTCCCTTCTATTCCCGTCGTACAATTTGCATTTAAAAATCACCAAGCTTAATTAAATATTATAAATTGTGTTGCTGCTTGCATAATATAGTATATTGATATGACTGAAAACGAATTGCATAGTGAATAACTCAGTCTTCATTTTCTGTATCCTACATGTTCCATTACTTAACTTATAATCATTAAAGGGTAGTTTACTTAAGAGAAATATAGGACAAGAAACGTTCCAACCCCTTTCCGGTAAATCTCAAACTTAATTATATACACCTAATTTTTGATTCGGAAAAGTTAAATTGGGTAATTAATCTTGACCCACGAACAATCCCCATTTGGGAGGCAACAACGAAGACGGTTTACGACAAAAAAATTACGGTTTATAACACTACCATTAATATATAAATACATTAATTAACTGAAAATCTTACTGACATACACGAACAGACGTTGTACCCAATAAACATTTTTATTATAACAACACAACAACGTGATAACTGATTAGAATGGAAAAGCTGACATTTTTAAAAGGACTTACTAAATGTAAAGTTTTTAAAAGACATTTTTGTGAATTTATGAAACACTTTATGTGATGACGTTGCCAATTTACAGAAATACTATATAGATATGTTTTAATAATGAAAAATGAAACACAATTTCCAAAAAAAAAAATTAAATAAAAATTAGCCGAAATCTAATCAAAAATCACGATCTTAAAATTAAAATTTTAACAGTTGTTTTATAGTATTTCCACTAAAAATATTTTGCAAGAATAAGTTGTTTTGTACATGTATATATTATACAAAAGTACATAAATATAGTAACAAATAATACCCATGGCAGAATTTCAATTTTTTTTAAATGTTAATTTGCTAAAAACAAATAATTAATCTACATACATTAAATATAATCATACAAATTGAATTACTAACAAAATGTAGGAGTGTATCATAATAACACTGGGTTCGTTTATAATAAAAACTTTTACCATTACTTTGTTAAACAAATCGTGAATTTTAAAAAATCTTTTTTTCAAAACCAACTAATTTTATAACTTAGGTATTTAATAGTGGATACAATTAATATATTTATGTATGCATAAAAACAAAAAAACTTTGAAATAGTATTTTTAAATTGAATATTCAGGTCAAACGATAAAATGTATGGACTAGGAGTAATTAATACTTTTCACAAATTTCTGGTTTAATTAATATGTACATATATTATAATAAAACTAATAGAAGAATATTATTTTATACGTAAAACCAATGTAACCAAAAACTGTAAAAACAAATGTAGTATACAAAGTAGTAAGTAATAACATTTTAATAACTTGTAATGGAAATTAAAACATTTATTGCTTCAGAAATATACTAACTAATAATTTATGAATGTGTTGTATTAAAATACTTTTTTTTAGCTATTGAATCATAAAAATATTTAAAAATGTACCTACATATTTTCACAAATTCCCATAGGATTGTAGTAAAGTATCGTAACATTTTATAGTGCATTTAGTTTTATTTTAAATTTATTTAAACTTATCCCCAACTTATGTTTCTGAATACCTACTTAATATTTTTAACATTATAGTAAATTTTATTAATAATTTATATATTTTAATGCAAATTTAAAAATAATATGTACCAACCAAGTTATTATTAATATATAGGTACATATAGAAATGTTTGGAAAAATGATCACTCGAAACTTATTAATAGACATTCAAAGTTAATATTTTAGAATAGGTTTGATGAAATAAATATTAGTTGTATTATGTTTTTATATTTTAAAACCAAGTTATTTTTATCAACTAGGAAATAAATATTTAAAATTACTAGGTATATAATATGCATATATTATGTGTATTTATATAGTATGTTGCCCCTTGTAGTAATTAAAGTATATTATCTACATTTACCACTATATACTACGTTCAACGTTTTTACTTCTACATATATTATCACCTATTAGGTCAAAATTTACACATATGAACGAATACCGGTTTATATGATATGTATCGTAAAGGATCTTACAAAACTACAAAATAAATAATTTACATTTTATTTTATATACAAAGTATTAATGCACTAAATATGTATATTATAATATATATTTAGTATCCATCTCTAACTTCTGAATACTCAATAATCGAAGCTGTTTTGAAACAACAAATAATATTAATTAATAAAACAACATTTTAAATTGGTACTCACGTAGAATTTTAATTAAACGTCATACATACACATACAATATAATAATCATACCATCACAATATATCAATAAACCGCAATGCAACTAACATAAATATTTATATATGTTTAATGTACATATAATATTATAGTGTTGACCGTTTAAAATCTAAATATTTATAGTAATAATGTAACTCGTGTATTTTGTACTCAATGATGAACAATTAAGAAATATTAAGGTTGACTTTATAATTCTTAATCAAAAATATATGTTTTTAGATTTATATCTTTTAAACACTAAATATATTTTACTTATAATTTTTAAAGATGCTTAAATCAACTAAATACTTTTGAAACTTTATGAGAGTTAATGAATTAATAATGAATCTCATTTCCGATAATTTAATAACATGTCAATTTGTGTTTATTACAAAAACTATGGTATTCTAAAATAATTATAGTTGTACATTAAACAGCAACTATTAGAAATCGATTTTTATGTAGGACAATTCAATTTTGATTCATCAAAAAATAAAATAGCTGAAGAAAGTTATTACAAAAATAATAACCAATTAAATGTATACCTACTTAATTAGTGGCTATATCTATCAATAAATATATATATCAATATGAAAAGTAATGTACGTGATTGTGACATTGTGTGTACTTTCAATATTATTTTAGAATAGAGTTGAAAATTGTCATATTCTTTTAAAAACCATCACTTCATTTTTTCTAGAAAAGTACTTCTGTACAAAAGTATTTGACACTAACGGAATGAACAAACTTTATAAGCATTGAAATATAAAATAAGTTCTTTAATCATGAGTACATATTATTACGATCGTTAAAACAACTTTAATCAACTTATATCAATAATATATTATGTTTCTTTGTTTATACAAGTTTGGAAAACGTATTTAACGACCATTAAGTACTAAACTGGCTACATTTTTCACTTTTGATTTATTAACATATTTTAGAGTGATTTACATTAATTGTTGAAATATCAACTTAATTATACAGCTCAGGCGTAAAAATAGAGGTAATTTTATGCGGGCACTCGTAATTTATTTGTATTTTGCAACTAACATGTTATGTTTTCGATTCTGAGAGGAGCGATGAATGTATTGATTTTACAACGATGTGTGTTTTTATTTTTTATTTTTGTGTCTTTTATTTCCTTTTGGGGCAGTGAAATGTAAAAATGCTTCGACTTTCAACTTTAGGATAATTTCCAGTAGAAAATTGGATCTAGTTGGTATTTTAAGGAATCAAAAGTAAAAAATACCTAGTAATATTCTACACAATCAGGAAAAACGAAGAAAGCAATTAAGAAGAAATGGGAATTTTCACGCAAAACCAGTTTTGATTAAATCGATTTTATTTTAATTGGTAATAGAACACGAATAACTGTAGATACTTGAATATTTAACCAAGTGTATAAATGATCATTTATTTTTATTTTTTTGGTTGTTTTTGAGGTACATGTATACATTTTTTTTTACTTTATATGTCAATAAAAATATGTTTGAACGGTCAAATACCTTAAACATACTTTAATACAACTTTGATCATAGATTTTAACATACCATTTAATAACGAATAACAAAAAAAAATTTTATAGCAATTTATTGAACTTCAAAGTTCAAATTTTGGCAAAAAACGTCAAATTCACGAAAATTTTCTAACTCTTTTTTAATTTAAAAAATTTATAAAATTTTGAATTTTTACATCTGAAGGTTGAAAATGTAATAGAAGATTCCTCATAAGTGGTAGTTCATTACGTAACTATAAAATATGTAAACACTAAATTTAAGTTATTTTTTAGTACTTTTAAAATATTATTTGTAGGTAATTGACATTTTTAAAGCATATTTTTAATTTTTATAGTTTTATACTCACAGCGACATTTCCAAAAACAATGTTTTGGGAAAACCACCGTATACTAAGATTACAATAAATAACATTAATTACCTAT